TATCCTAGCAAAGATCTCAAAGAGATAGCTTAGTTTCCAACCAACATTAGGAAAGCTGTTAAAAAATATACTGAAATTGTCAAGACAACAAATATATATATAAGATTCCATTCAGCAACCATGGAGTGGGATCCTATTCTTGAATATATGCATCCATCGTTCCATGTGATCAAAATGGGAATCACAAATCAACATTTTTTACCAACCAATCAAAAGGTTGTTAAAAATGGATATCAAAATATTCTAAATATGATGCCCTATAGACGAGCAAAAGGATATAAAGAGATATTTGAATATGTAACTCAGATAATTACTGAGAAAGAAAAAATATGGGTTTATCCATCTGAAGATCATATTATCTATTCCAATGCAAGGATGGACACCAAAGAAGAAGATATTTGTTATCTCGACCATTTATTATCTGCAATTATTTCCAACCAAGTGCATGGATCAGAAGATATGGCTAAAGAACTATGCAAATTGCTCTGAAATTACAGTGATCACCATTGTGAATACTGTGTAGTTAAAGATATGAGCCAAACATCGCTTAATAGTGAAGAATTCCCTGCAGAATTCTTTGATTCGAAAATGGAAAAAGTGATGGTGACAAAAGTAGCCCTTTATCACTGCTTTAATAAATAAATTTATTAAAGAAAAACTGTGGCTACTAAAGACAGAAAATAATGCAAGAAAAAGAATCCATTATTGTGACTACTCACCCACCAATTGTTACAAGTGGCAGACAAACTCAAAAGATAAGGCATCTAATTTCAAAAGGAGAGGCCCACTAGCAAGAAGATAATGGAAAAATTCGGTGGAGATAAGATAGCCTAGCTACCCAACAAAGAAAGGTGGAAAACACCTGTCCAAGATAATATTCCAAAATCTTCTATAAAAAGGGGCATGAAGGAAGAAGGAAGGCATCTCGAAATAGCTTATCTCTTAAACATACCTGAGAGAAATCTTTTGTAATCTGTATACACCACTTGTATTCAGAAAAATATTAGATAGCTTGAAGATAGGAAAGCGTGTAATAAGGTAATCACTTATGGAGTTCTAAACTTCATAAGGTGAGTACCAAAGGTATTTAAATATAGTTTGTAAACATGTACAATTCCAATTTATGAATATCAAAGTAAAGTTTGTTATGTTCAACAAAAGCTTTCATAAAAGGATTTCATTAAGTTTCTCATGATTCCTCGGCAGTACAGATAGAGATTTTAAAAGACTTTCAAAACATTGATTTTGAATGGATGTTAGTCATGCCAAAATACCCGTCTTTGATAATTGGTTTAGGGGAAAAAGGCAGTTTTCTAACAAAATTTTTAGCACCTTGTGTGTGAGTTATCTTTTAAAATTTTGTTCCAAGTAGGAACTTGATTCTGAAAAGAGTTTGGATAGAGGTGAAAACAGAGACTCTGGATACTGTGAGATAGCGTCTGTGGAAACACGGCTAGTTCTCTAGAATGAGAAATGCAACCTTAATTGAAAAGCCTTTTGCGGAAGTAGTTGTAGACCCAAATGATTTCAAAAACATTTTAAATCTTTACTTGATTCAGAAGATTGATTAAGTACATGCAAAGCATCTATAAGAGCATACTGGAGGGAAAGCCTATTTATTTCCACTTGATTACTGTAAGTTATTTACTTGTTTTTACATGCTTATGTTTTAATTATTTTGATGAATAATTCACATGCATCTACTTCCAATGATGATAATAATCTTATCTTATTTTTAGATGAAAAAAATGTTTCGTTCTTACTTAAATTAGATGAAAAATCTGATGATATATTTCCTGTTGGTAAAGAAAAAATTGAAGAAATATATAGAGATATAGATTATAATTGTAGAAATAATATAGGATTTGATTCTGTAGGAACTAGTAGAGAAATAAGAAAGGTAGAAGATATCATAACCAAACATAAAAATATACAAGAAGAAATTTCAGAAAAATTATTTAAAGGATATATAACCAAGAAAGGTCAACCTATAATCTTTGAAGAACTATTAAAATATAAAGAATATTTAAAGATGCTCAAAAAATTGAAAAATATAGATATAGGTTCTGATTGATAAATCCTTAAAGATAGAAGATAGATCTTGCAAATAATTTTAGTAAGGGTAAAATGGTACTTTTAATAGGAAAGGCTATTGTGGAAAATAGGCTCAATAATTCAGCCAATATAAAAACTACCCCATGAAAATTTACAAATCTTCAAGAGCTATGTCATATGAAGATTTTCTTTTAAAATTTTACATATTCTTAATTTCATCAACCAAATTTAACCCTAATTAAATAAATTAATTCATTTTCTATTATATGGACTCTTCTTTTATTTCTAATTTTACAAATTTTGTGATTTAGTAGGTATTATTAAATTGTTTTCCTTTTAAAATAATATATTAGTATTAGACAAACATTTAGCTACTTACAACCCTTAAAATGAGTTTTTTTTTCTTTTTTACTTTTTTTTTTAGAAAAATCAGTTCTGATAGTGAATTTTTGAAAAATGTATAGTTAAAAAGTAGGAAAAAATTTAGATTTATATATAAAATATTTTATTGTGAGAATATGTGATTAAAAATAAGTTTAAAAAAAAATTTTATTTTAATGATTGTCAAGTGGGGACTTAATTATAATATGCTATAAAGATTAAATTAAATTTAAAGTACTACTAATGATATGTAAACACATCAATATTAATCAAAATCTATTATAGTAATTTTGTACACATTCAGTACTAAAGTATGTTTATTTGAAACATCTAATTGTTGCTTTTGGAACGTAAAACAATTTTCAAACAATAGTTTATTAAATAACTAACGGATTCGTCTCGCATCTCATTCTTTCTTCAACACAACTACAGTTGATTCTCTTTAAAGCACAAAAATACTAAATCAAACATTCATCTAATACGCTTTTGACACAATTTACTACTAGTTTATGTATATTTTTGAGTTGTGTTCATTTCTTGGAAGAGTGAAAAAATATGTAGTTATGAATAATGTTATATATCTTTAGCACTGCTAAAAATCTGGCTATGTGACCCAAAAAATTCAATTAGTTAAAATTATGACGAAGGAAATCTCTCAATGCCTAGGCTTGGCCCCTTGGATTTTGCCCTGGCTTAAGCCTGGGCAAACAGCACAGCTCTATAACGAATGAAATGCGAACCCCAATACTGCATATATTAATTCTTAGCACCTCTGGGGCAAACTAGCTTTACTAGTTATGGATGATATTCAATATATATACAGAGGAATGATCTCCTAAATATCCGTGCTTAACTTATGTTAAGCATCGATGACATGACACACCATTTAATTGGTGAATCATTAAATACATGGGACTTACCATTAACTTATTCACCAATTAAATTTTGTGTCATGTCATCGGTACTTATGAGAGAGAGAGAGAGAGAGTATATTTTAAAAAGGGGGGTAAAAAACTAAACTAGAATATCTTGCACCGGCCACTAGTGAAAGCGGAGATTGTGTGGCTCTGGAGATTGCTTTATAATTTCGCTCCTCAATCTAATATGACTCCTATGTACCATGAGAATCAAAGTACGAATCAAATTGGTTATATCCATTGTTTCAAGAACGCACCAAACATATTAAAGTTTATTGTCAATTAATTCATTGACCATCGAATCATTTCTCTTCCTCATACACCCTCTTCTATGCAACTGCAGATTTTTCACCAAATTGCAAATTAGACAATTTCGTTACTTTTTTAAGCAAACACTTTATGGTTCATCTATCAATAGTTTGACAAAGTTGTTGACGTATTTAGCCCCTATTTGGGGTCCATTATATTGGAGATAAAGCATTTTGAAATAGTGATTTTTTTATTTTTTTTTCAAAGAATGTATGATTAAAAAAAAATGAAATTTTTTTTTTTTAAATTTACTTATAATATTATTTTATCGTAAAGTGATTAAAATGAGGGAAAAAAATATATTAAACTATAATGAAAACAAAACAAAATACGAGCTTTATATAATTTCAACCTGCTACTTGTAAGGACTTCTTGTTGGGACTGCGGTTTGTTAAATTCCAAATTAATTGGTTCACTACATAGAAAAACCTTTTCTTATTCTCATTATTTCAACACTTGTGACACAACAGGGACAACATGAACTTTGTCAATATTATCCTTCTTTGACATGCACCTTAATCCTCGATTTGAACTCCATGTCACCTCAACATCTATCAAAAAATCTATCAAAATAATTATGTATAAGTAGCTTAATACATATAATTTTGTATGCGTAGAATAGTTTGTTCTTATTTGTTATTTCTTTATGGCACACATGTAATTTCATGCCCATTATATGATTATTTCCCTCATTTTTGTTCCTGTACAGATACAGATTGAATTATAACATGCAGTAAAGGGATTGCAGCTCTTTCTTATCAGGATTTTGACCTGTGTTTTATGAATGAAGACAAAATCAAACTAATTCATGCAACTAATGAAAGGCTTACAAACATTAAGATGAAGCTGCTTTTTTGTGCGACACACGTGCTACAATAATCGAGTGCCAAAGTAAAGGGAAAAAGAGAGAATGCAGCTGGGGAGTTGGGGGAGAGGACTGTCCCAAAATGAATCCACAATTACTGGCCGAGCACATAGCACCTATTTGACACAGTGTTTTGAATGGTGATTTTTAGGAGAATATGTGATTAAATAGTATGAAAGAGTTTTGAATTTATATGCAGAATATTTTATCAAGTAAATGTGTGGTTGACAATGAGTACATGGAATAAAGAGTTTTCATACATCCAAGATTGAGAGTTTCAGCACAAAAAGACATCCTATGATATAGCTTATCAAATCACGATGCTTCAAGAAACCTTCCAGTTGAACCCAAGTTACTCTCCCAAATTCCAACAGATAGTTCAAGAAAAAGAATGGCTGAGATGACCATCTAAGTGAGCGATCGAAAATCTGATGCATAAGATAACAAATTCACTAAATCCACAGGAAAAGAAGTGAAGCACAACAGTTCAGTGTAATGGCTTTATAGAAACCAAATATCAAAATTTATCAGATAAGTAACATGTTTCGCTGATACTACATGTAAGATGCTTAGGCCGAAAATACTAGCAGTTAAGCCAGATTTTCAAAATTCATTCAGCCTTGATTCACTGCATTATGACTATGAGAATAGTATTCAAGTTTCTGTGAGATGAATTTGATCTAATGTCCCTGCAGGGCCATGGGAGTTTGTCGATCATTATGTTACGCAATTTAAGTCAACTTTTAATGTAAATAATTAGGTGTCAAAAAAAAAAAGGACACGCACACACACACTAAGTACAAAATCTGCAACCTCATTTTCCCTTTGACTTCAGTTGTCCTCCATATAAGACAAGCCCCACTGTTGCAAAACCGGACAAGATTGTTGATGTATAACAAACTGCAAGTAGAGCCCCTCGCAGTGACTGCAGCAGATGAAATTAAGTATCCCTAATGGTAATAAACAAATATGAAGCAAAACAGCATTGACTTAAGGCACACCTTGGCAAGAAGCAAAGCATTGTCATTGGTATACTGCAGTGAGCTCTCTGGAGTACTTTGAACGCCTTGGCTTAATTGCCATGAAATGATCCTATATATTGGGTTTAAAACATAAAGGTGTAAGTCGTAAACCTTGTTTCAGATAATAAAAGGAAAGAAAGATGCACCCCTAACTGAAGCAATTACCCAAAAACAAAGGCAATAACAGCCCCAATGTACGCTTTTTCTGAAGTCAGTTCAACTTGAAGCTCTCCAAACTACACATAGAGAACTACAATATGAAATTGTTCTCAGAATACATATAAGAAAATCTTCTTCCAAATAATGTACCTTCAGCATCCTGGTTTCAGGTTTTGGTTCTTCATTAGCTGTCTCAGATACTGGAATTGAAGACAAAAGATTTCCAGTCCTAATCATCACTTTGGCAATCTATACTGATTAAAAATTATCCAACAATAAGTTCAAGGATGCATAGAAACCATTAATATACCTATATGCATATGCGGCACAGAAATCAGTAAGAACTGCGTTATAATAGATTTAAAGAGGGCTATGACAGAATAAATCAAAACTTTTGCATCTTTACCAAAAAAATGGCCGTCATCCATTTTGATCACACCCAGTAACCTGGGGAGAAAATAAAATTTAAATTTCTAACTGTGTATTCAGACCTGTGATGTCTTCCAGGATTTACTAACAATTGTGATCCAAGTTAATACAAAAGGCATAAAAGAATGAGAAAAATCGAAAACTAGGTGCAATTGTCGAATGTAGATATATGCTATTCAATAATTTAAGTAGAAAACACTATCACATTTAAAGAAAGAGAAATGTTTGCATGATACCATCTGTAGTTCACCTTGACCATATTGGCCCATCGACTGGAACCTCCTCCCAGAAGATATCAAGCGCTTGCCCAGTGCTAACAAGCAATAAAAACTAAAATCAGGAAAAAAATTCAATCACAAACCCAAAAGCAAGAAGAACCTTGGCCTCCACAGCATAGGAAAGAAAAACTAAGCAAAACTATGAGATCATATTCTTGCCTGACTTATTACTGTCCGTCAGAGTACCCACTAACAAAGGGAGCTTGCTCACTAGAGTCGCAGAGGTTGCTGTATCTGCAACTTCCCATGCTCGACTTATGTTCAATAATGTCTGTCCCAAGTCTTCACCGCACTGAAAATATCAGTTTGGACAAATTAAATTTCTCTATCCTGTGCTAGAGTGAATATTCAATGGGAAAGAGACAAATGGAATACGTGAGAAATAGGCCAATTTATATTTTTGTTTACTGGAAGTCATGAGATTGGTTTTCTAGTATTTAAAAAAGTTTATTTATGGGAAAGAATTAGGAAATGTGGGCTATACATGTTTGGATTGGGACATACAAGAAGGAAGAGAGAAAAAGTTCGAAGAATATAGCCAAAAGAAGAGTTGAATTAAGGATTTCCAGCACAAATAACAACAAATGCCGCAGTTGGAGGTGACAATCAAACAAAATGGCAGATAATATGAAGATGGCAGATAAGAGCAACCGCAAAAATGTGTCAAAAATATGCAAAGAAAGCTGATAATTGGACCTCACCCCTCTGAAATTTCTTAAAATTGATATGACCATGGAGAGACTTGATTCAAAATTGCATGTGGCAAGACTGCGGGAAGGAATGCTACTACTATTGCACATTGTGTAGGAAGTAATTCTAGTCCGTTCAGAAACATAGCTCCAAAGTTCCCAATTCTCACAAAATGTAGAACAATCTTATCTTTCTTTCAACTTTCAAATTCTGGTTTATTGATAACTTGATATTATCTGCGACATTAGAGCTCAGGAAATAATGTCCTTATGCCCTCTAAAAGCTTCAAGAACAATGGTTGGGGAAAGAATAAATTAGACAATGCTCAAAAATGAATTTGGCAGAATAATTTTAGTTTATTATGTACTGTCAATCTAGTGTTAATCTTACCAAGTTAAGGAGCATGACTATTCAAATTGCAAGTACTGAAGCACTATCATTAAATGAATGTTTATTATGAGCTTAGAGTATTCCTTTTTCCAAGTAAAAAGACATAATCCTACTTGATTAGACGAACTACTTTTGATGGTTGAAGGTTTCATATCACCAAAAATAATGCCAACAATGGTAATTGCAATCCAAATACAGAAACTTATATGAACGAACAGATAATCATGAAGAAAACAACATTTGACATTAAGCCTTATGAAGATGACAGATCCATTGAGGTCAGGTCAAGATGCACAATAATACATTAATCCACTCTATTGATGACGATTAATGCTTACATACAAGTATTTACTTCTGAAATTTTTCGCCATCATTAGTCTTTTACTTAACATAGTGTTGAGTATGACTCTTTCTTTTTTCAGATAAATTGATTGTGTATAACTCACCTCATCTTTGACTGGTCCATTTGAAAGATCAAAAGCCGCATCATTCAGCTTCAACATTTTCAAAAAGCATTAGTCAAGACTTTCTCAAATATGAATTCCCCCTCCAAAGAAAAGAAAAATTAAGTATAACAGAAACAACAATAAAACAGCATTACAAGCTCAGGCAAAGTTTTCATCCCACTAGATTTACATCATTCAAGTATTATTAAATTCTCCATTTAGTTAGACCCGAGATTTTGTCAATGCAAAAAGATTCCGGGGACACAAGTTCGAAAAAATTGATTCAATTCCAATGAAAGGTAGTCTTTAACCCATAGTGGACATATCCCAAAGGTATTCTAGTGGTTTTTTCATATAAATTCATTACAAATTCTCAACAGGCCAAAACATGGGTTACAATTTAAGCCATAAAGTACGACAACACAAAGATTGTACCTTGTACTTCAATAGTTACACCTTTGTTCAGTAGTAACTTAATTAACCCAAGCAAATTTCATCCACCAAGTATGGTACAGTCTTTGTCCTATATTAAACAAATATTCACACACTATGACCCTACAAGGAGATTGTTTATACAAATTCATTCAGAATTTTATGCAACCAAAGATGAGGAATGACTTTCTGTAGGAAATTGATGATCCATCCCAATATTAACTATAGTAAATAAATTCCCTAACAAAATCTTAACCATGTATAGCCAATATCGGATGTCTTTCACACGTTCCCAGCACCTTCGAGGAAAAAATACACAGCCTGATTGTACTGACCTCCTATTCATAACGTACCCACCAATTATGTACCTTAATAAATTTTCTTTACTCTCACAAACATTAAAAAATTCTGAACCACCAACACAATGAACAGTGTTTGTAGTGAACAGCATATCACGACTTTACCTCGCAAATTAGTAATTGTACTGAAAATTAAACTTACATCTAACCGAAGATCCCGAGGCAGCCGCAAAAAATAATCTGCCGGAAGAACAAAAGCATCCTGCATCGAAAAAAAGAAAAAAAAAATCAGGCAAAAATGGATAGAGAATGAAACTCAAGAGTTGAAGAAAAATGGATATGACAGTTTGATGTATACAGAGAGTTCTTTGAGGAGAAGCTGAACTTCAGAATCAACGGAATTGGGAGAATCTGATGATTCTGCAAGAGCAAACAATACTTTCTTTAAAGACCTGAATTTGGGGGTTTTGCAGTGTGAAAGAATTGGGATATTTTGGGGAATTTGGAAAAAGTGGTGGGTATTAAGGTAATGGGATATTAATGGTGGTTGAAGGCGGAGGAGCGAAAGAGAAGCAGCAGCCATTCAAAGGGGATTTTACAAATCAGATTTTGCNTATATTTGTGATCCAAACTCTGATTTAGTTATGGTTTTAGATTGGATTGGATTGCATTGGGACCTCCTTTTGTACTTTTCTCCTACAGATTAGAATCGTGTCAATGCATGATCTTTGAACCACACAGTTTCAACATTTTAACAAGGTTTGAAATCAAATCATATTACACAAACCAAAAAAATTTTCCTCCTTCTCAACAACTCATTTTTCAAAAATATACCATTCCACCCATTTTATTTTGAAAAAATGAGGGTCAAACGAGCGCTAGATCTCTAAACACTGAAAAAACAATAGTTTATGATCCATCAAAACTAGTATTCTAGAAGACGTAATGCGTGACGATACAAAAAGGCCAAACTATGAGCTAAACGAGACATAAGCGTAAAAATGCATTTTTCTCATTTTAATAATATTTTAATTTTTAATTAATCAAAAAATTATTTAATAATTAAAAATAATACCTATCATACATCTAAAATAGATTTATATTGAACTTTATACATTTTTTCAGAGTTTCCAACAAAAGCATAAGTTTCAAATATAAATATTAATAGTAAATAAATATAAATTGTTGGAAGGTTTTCTTTGTTCAAGACTTCAAGTGACTGTTTTAAATCTATGGCAGACGAAATGAAAAAGTCAGCCTTTGAATTTTAACTTAAAAGAATTGTTGGGAAAAAAAAAGGGATAATAAGGCGCGAATAATCACTCAATCGTTGATCACTACATAAGAAGCCAAGCCAAGTGCATTACGTCAAGGCGCACCTTTTAGAACACTGATCAAAACAATTTAAAGTTAATAAAAATATCCTCAAAATATTTGTGAACCATACAAGAGCAGTTATTTCAACCAGATTTTATCAGTCAAGCTCCAATTTTAGCAACTTTTCGCTGCTCAATTTGACCTGTCAAAGGACACTGCATCTCTGTCCAACTTATGGGAACCATCGTTGCACCTACAGAACATCATCGTACACCACATAATTAGAAAATGTCTCGTTAAGGTTACTCTTTAACACCATAAATCGCATTCACAAACATGCACACGTTTCTAAATATACAGGTACAAGCAAGCTTCTGTTTAGAGGTTATTCAAGATTTCCCCAAAATATATTGTTAACAGGTATTTTATTGAAAACCCACTCCAATATGCGTTGGGAACGTCTTCATCCAGTGCTTTTTGATATTGTGTAGACATCAAAGAATTTGTTATGATGAGCAGAGTTAGAAGTTTGCAACACAGTCAATTGTACCGCGTATTTGCTTGCATACTTTGCAACAGAGAAAAGATTCAAGCAACAGAACTATTAACAATCTCTCAATATTGAATTTGGTAGAGATTAAAATCAAATTTTTAGCAAATTTTGATAAAAGTTGATGAAATATGTGACTAAGAAGTTGTGGATCTTATTAAATATGATTAAAATTAATTATTGAACTTAAATTTTAATCTGATTGAGTGCCGTATGGTAGAATATAATTAATCAGTATATGCTTTATATAGAGTTGTACAAAGAACTGTATCAGAATCACAGGCAGAAATGCAGCCAAAGAATATTTCCCCAGGCAACACCAGAAAGAAATGTGGGACAGAATGAGATGATAACCAACAGTTCATGTTCATGGCCAAATATATTGGAATTGGTATCCTAAAGGTTGTTTATTAAGCTAACTGGTTAGAAATTCTACGAAGAAGGTGTTGATGAATACAAGTCACAAGATCGGCACCTTTTAAGCTCTTTTATACTTTTTTTTTTTCTTCAAGATTTTCCAGCAGATATGAGCTACCACACAGAAACATTTGCCTTGTTCGAACCCCATTTTTGGGGAAGAATGAATTTTTGAATAGGGTATTGATGGGAAATGTGTGGTTAAAAAATAAGAATAAGTTTTGGATTTGCGTATAATATTATTTCATTGAAGAATGTGTGATTAAAATGATGTCAAAATACTATTGAAAAATGCATTTTTCCAAAAGAATGAGGCTCAAACAAGGGCTCTATGTTGGTTCTTATTTTTGTCATCAACCATCGAAAGAAAAATTATAATTTATCGCCACGCCCAAATTTCCCTACCCACAACCCCTCTATTCAATTCCTCCAAATCACATATGGTCCCAGACGATTCCAAGGAAATCCAATCAGCTCTTTTTACTTCAAAATACTTGAATTTGTATTGGCATGAAAAACTAGCTGATAAATGATCTTTGCACAGCAAACTAGATATGAATTGATTGTCGACAAATGAATCACTTAGGCTGACTAATTCATTGAAGAACATAAACAGCAGAAAAATTGGCAATTTCAAAAGTAGCTATTTAGGAAAAAAATTTAGTATGAACAATGAGGGAAAATACCTGCTGCACTTTCTGCAGATACAACACCAAGCTCATTTTTAGCAGTTGATAAATGATACGCCCGAGCATCTCCAAGGGATAGCTTTACAAGGAAACAAATTAAGGCTCACAAGTTTGACACAACAATTTAATCAAAGTTTTTCATCTAATCAAAACATTCCAAGTAGAGACAAGTCTGAGACCTAAAAAAATAAAAAAACGCATAAGTAATAGAAGTTTATGAAAAATACTACGGATCAAAGCCTTGTCAATAACTAACAAACAATATAAAGGTAATTTTACTGGGCATTTCCTTAAGGCAAATACATCTTTTTACTATGACAAACATTTATATCTTAGCATGAAGGATACAACTAGAGCCCTAACAATGTCACCCGGGCGGAAGGAGGAGTGCATATCTACTTTGTCAATCTCAGTTGCTCTGACATCTTGTTGCCTGTTACAAATGACAAAATCAATTCTCAGAGAGAGAACAAGCTCATAAATAGAAGATTCAATCAAGTTTCCATGCATCAAGCCGTAATGTTAAAATTTTGAATCATTGAAAAACATGATGTGAACTGTCGATGTTGAGATTTGAAGTATTTGCTTCTGTGAATGATTTTGTAGCAGAGAAATAGGCATGAAAAGCGCCGATTACTTGCCCCATTATATCACAACAAGAGGCCATCATCACATCAAATCGGCCATAAAAAATGGCAAGCTGGATACAGTCAGATTCGTATCAAATGAAACCATTGAAGGAATAAGATTGAGTGTACAGCTTCTTAAGTATTAAGGCAATATAAAGTTGATTTCTCTGAATCAGAGGCTGCAGGTATAATAAGTAATTTCTGAACTTATTTTAAGTTATCCCAAAAGGAAGCATATGCAGCACAAAGATTGTTGCAGACTAAACCGAAGAGAGAAAAATTTACAGCAAAAAACTAAGCATCATTCCTGGTAAGCTTGTGGTCACTACATGAATCATTTTTTGCTAATCTATTCGATCCAACACTTCATCCTTTCGTGAGAACTTATCACATAAGGAAGACAAGTAACATAAAATCCAGTTCCATTAACATATCTCGAAGGCCATAAAAGGATTCAAGTGTCCAAACTTGCAAGCTTTTCCAAGATCAAAAACATCATATGGTATCTAGCTTTTACATAAACAATAATTCTACAGGAAAACTTAACATCAAGAGCCTATAGAGAAGACAAATTTTGGAAAGAGGTCAACCCCTAATCTCAGACTTAAAAATACATTATCAAGTTAAAACACATAGAAAAATAAGATATAAGACTTTTCTCTTATCCCTTCTCATTTCTGTCCTTGACTAAATGGATAGCGAGAAGGTTGAATCACTGAACAAGAGCTTGAAATACAAAGAAAGCTTTTTGACATTTCAAATATAAAAATAACAAAAGGGGTTCCTTCTTTCAGGAAATGGAGTAATTGTCTCATAGAGAATATTTTATTTTTATTTTTTATTTTTATTTTTTTTATGAAACTAGCATCTTAAGCACATCTTATCATCATTCAGTAGTTCATTGATAATTGTCAACCATCAACTTAAAATATTCTTCATACCTAATAATTCCTGAAAATTTTTCTCGTACAGACTTGGGACCTACACACATTATATCTGCTGAAGCCATTCTAGCCATCACTTTAGTAACCTGTCAAAGTCAGTAAAATGCTGTAAAAGATGAGGGTGACTTTTAAAAGTGTATAATCTGTTATAAAAGGAAAAAGTTTGCTCCAAAATGTTACAATAGTTTGTACATGAACATCAATTTTTTTATGCAAATAAAAAGAAAAAAAAAAATACAACTGAAATGGCCAACATTTCCATGTGAACTCCCCATTCCTTCTTAAATTATCCTATATAATTGATTAAAGAATAACATACAACTCAACGGCTGACCCTTGCTTGAAGAAAGAATCCAAACTTGAAAAATACATCCATAGATACGTAGAATCATTGGTGTTGAAAGTACTCATTATTTTGCAAAATTCATGTTATAATTAGCATATGATCTCTTAATGAGGTAAATTATATGATTCCATTTTCTCTATCACAATAGTTTCAATTTCCTATCTATTTACTTGAAGCCAAATCTTATACCAGTTACTTGGCACGCATTTCCTTAGACAACATTAACTACATTTTAGATTCAAAGAGCTATTTATGAGACAAACATATTACATCAAATACGTTAAAGATTTAAAATTTAGCCATAATCCAATTTATCCAGCAACCCAATGACCCACAAAGTAATTAACCCAGGAAATCCTCATTAATATTATCTAACGGTAACCCACTTTTATCTGAGACGAAGCAGCTAAACTTCATCAAAGCAATTCGAGAATGTTAATATGCACAGCTGCCAGAAAAATCAACACCTAGATTAACATGTATAAATTTAACAAGGAAAAATACTAGCAATAAAAAGAACCTTACTCTTGCAATGACAATAGCACCAATCTCGGGAACAGCACCATGGGCCTTATGACCAATCACATCTACTGTTGGCCTCTAACAAATAACCAAAAAAAATGAAAATCCTCTTATTACAAGCAAAAATTCAAATATAAAATTAACAATCAGACCCAAAAATTTATGGGTTCCCCAGAATATGAATTCAATCTCACGTAACAGAGAATTACAAATTCCGACTCTATCACCTGATATTACGAAGATAAAAAAAAAATGAAAATAGAAATAGAAGATGTGATTACAGAATGATTACCGTGTCAGGAGAGTCAGGGAGAGGATAGGTAAGGGTTCGGAATCCAGTTAGAGAGGCATAGACGGTCTTATTGTGGGGCGAAACATAAGCACCTTTTCCTGCTTTCAACTCCGCTGATTTTCCTAAAACTTCCCCTGGCGTCACCAATTCGCCTCTCGTTTCCTCTTTGTTTACCTTCATTCTTTCTTTCCGTGTGTATATGCCTAAAAATAACTCAAATTTCTTTTGCCTGCTCTTACGTACGGAAACCTTTTATGCTGTATCTGCATAAACCCTTCTTGGACGGGACGCGTACCTTTTGTTTCTGGGCGAGTTAACTGTGCCAATGGTCTATAGGCGTCTTATGATTGTTTTTTTGAGTTAATTGTTCCAATGGTCACTATTTTAGGTCATATATTTGATTGGTCGTTAAAGTATGAAATGTCGAATTTTGGTTATTGAATTTAGGTTCATATTTTCGATTGCCCACTGAACTTAGGTCTATATTTTTTATTACTCACTGAAATTTAAAATGTCGAGTTTTGACAACTGAACTTTGAAATATTCCGTATGTTACTCACTAGAATAATTGTTGAATTTTGAAAAATATCGAGTTTATAGTAAGTAATGTATAGTATTTTTTAAAGTTCAGTGAGTAGTGTACAATATTTTTTAAAATTTAATGGTCAAAACTCGACATTTTAAATTTCAGTGAGCAATTGAAGACATAGACCTAAGTGCAATGATCAAAACTTGACATTTTAAACTTCAGTGACCAATCAAAGATATGGACCTAAGTTCAGTGACCATTGGAACAATTAACACTTGTTTTTTTTAAGTTTAAAATATCGAAATTTGGCCATTAAATTTATCTAAAAATTGGATTTTAATCAATGAAATAACATCCATATAGGGCTGGACAAATTTCCCGAATCGAGCCCTAACCGAATCGAACCGAACCCAACGGTTCTTGTCAAATTAAATACCCGAACGGGTATCTGAATTGAGAACCGACGGGTACAGTTCGATTCTCGGTTCTAGACCAAGAACCGAGTCTTTTTAATTTTTTTTATATTAAATGAATCAAATTATCTTAATTTTAATTTTTTTAAACAAATTAACAAATTAACAATTTCTAAATTCAAATTTTTGGTCCAATAATTTGTTTCATTTCTAATTTTTAAATTTTTTGCCCAATTACTCATTTTATTGTTTCATTTCTTAGTCTAACAAGAGTCAACCCACTAAATAACCCTAAACACCTACACTAAAGTGCATAACGCTCTCTCGACTCTCACACTCACTCTCGCAGCCTCGCTGACATTGCAAAACCTATACAATCACCGGTCGATACTGTGACCTCCAATTGAAACTGTGACCTCCGCCGACCGAAACTTTAACCATAGTGATCATTTGGTCAAGGTAGTCTACTAGTCTTTGACATTTCAAAACCTTTGAATGTGTTATTAGTTGTATTTATATAATGTTGTTATAAATATTAAAAAATTTAATTATAGTACGGAATCGAACTGAACCGCACTGAACCGAACCCGAACGGTTTCATAATTATATTTGAACCCGATGGTTCAATTTACTAGATATCAGAAAAATTTGGTTCGGTTCGATTCTCTTTAACCGAACCGAATCGAACCGACCCGCATCCACCTCTAATTACAAAGCTTTAGGAACTAGTGTTTGATTAACAGAATGTACACGTTTTGCCCTGTCACGCCATTAACAAATTATTACGTCTTCTATTACTTACTAAACTTTCAAAAATATCTTTAATTGCTCACTAAATTTTGAAAAATGTCTTCGACTATTCACTAAATTTTAAAGTTATTGAATTTTGACCACTAAAAATTCAAAACGTTTTTCAATGCCTACTAAACTTTAAAAAAATATCTTTAATTGTTCACTAAACTTTTAGATGGTCAAATTTTGGCTATTTATAAAAATGACGTCGGAGTGTGATTTTTTAAACAATGCGTACCACAAATGCACGAGTCACGTGAAAATAATGAAGTTGACAAACGAGTCTAAGTTGTCGATACCACAAGAATGACTATTCAATTACACGATAGTTAAATTTAATTCTACATAATTTTTTTTAAAAAAAATTATCATTTGAAAAATTCAAATTTATTGTGTGCTTCGTTATTAAAATTAAACTAAATTAAATTTTGAATTTTGAAAGTTCAAATTTTAATTAAATTTATTATGTATTTCGTTGTAAATTTTAAATTTTATTTTTATTTAATTTTAACTACAACAATAAATTCGAATTTTTCAAATGATAAAAATAGTTTAAAATTGTACAACAATATGTTAAAATTAAATTTAATTATTGTGTAATTAAGTAATCATTTGTCATGAGATTTACAATTTGTACTCAACATTCATTTTATTATTTTTATGTGACATGTGCGCTTGTTGTAACATTTTTTAATAAACAACAGGCCGACGTCATTTTCATAAGTTTAGTGACCAAAATTCGACCACCTCAAAGTTAAGTAATTAAAAACGTTTCTAAAGTTTAGTGAACAATGAAAGATGCTTTAAATTTTTAGCGGTCAAAATTCGACCACCTTAAAGTTTAATGAGTAATTGGAGACGTTTTTCAAAATTTAATGAACAATCGGAGATGTGACAATTTATTGATAGTGTGACATGACGTCATATGTGCATTCTATTAGTCACATCACTAATTCCATTAAAGGTTTAAAACTGATGTTATGCCAGTGAGCAACGTCCAACACTTGGATAAATTTAGTGGTTAAAACTCAACAATTTAAATATCAATGATCAATTAAAAATACGAACATAAGTTTACTGGCCACTGAGATAATTAACTTGTTTTTGGGCACTTACGCTCTCAAATCTTTGTTGATCTTACGTTATTATTTCAAACCTTTGAAGAGTGATGCAAATGGTCCCAAAGTTCAGCATTATTAGCATAATGGGTCCTTTTGGATGGATTATGTCCAAAAGTACAATTAACCTTTGTTTGAGTCTCATTTTTCTAAAAATTCATTTTCAATCACAAATTCTCTAATAAAATAATTTTACAAATAAATTGATAATAAAATATTACTTTTTAACCACATTCTTCAAAAATTTACTATTCAATAATACATTTTTTTCCTAAAATAGGGCTCAAACAATGGCTTATGCGTTGTCTCAACTATGACGAAGTCCCTAACTAATTTTTATTAGGTTTTTGTCCCCAATTCTGGAGAAATATCACGCTAAATCGCCCATTTTTTGTAAACTTATGTCCCAAACCTTTTATTTTCTTTTTACAGAATTTATCCAAACTCCTCATTTGTGTAACTCAAAGTCCACAACATTTTATATATACAAGGACAAATGAATGGTTTCTATCCATTTGACCATAATTTGACTAGAAAAATAAAATTTTGATCAATTTTTAAATAGTGAAACGATAAATTTCTATTTTTTCAAACATTAACAATTAAAATAATTAAACCTGAAAAAATGAATTTTTCACCATTTCCAACCCCTGCTCCTATCCTTACCCTTATTTCCCAAACCCACTCACTCATTTTCATCTCCATCGAAAAACACCAAGAGTAATTTCACCACTATTGTATGGTTGTTCAAAAATCAATAAACGAACGTGGAATGAAAAATCAGAATTGAAAACCTTAAAGTTGGCCTATACGACCACATAGGCCAGGAAGATTTGTGGTCCCATAGGCATAAAGGCCCTGCCATTGGTTGTTCTATGTGATCACATGTGTTTGTTCTATGTGGTCGCATAGAACAACAATATAATAGTTGGGAGTCCTTTTTGTTTAAGTTTCTGGTGGCTTTTCAAGTGTTTTGGTACCACTTCGTGTAGGCTTGGATGATGGCTATAAATAGGTGATTAGTGATCAATAAAATCATATTGAAAAACATTGAGCAGCACTTGAAATTATTTTCTCATTCTAAAATCATTGAAATTCATTTTCTTCATATTCATATCTTGATTTTGTATTTTTCAAGTTTTGGAGGATTTCACTAGTGCTTGAGTATTAAATCATTTTCAAGGCTTGGTAAATCTTGCAAAGTATTTGCCGAGATCCCCGAGAGGGGGCAAATATTATTTGAGGACAACGATTACATGTTCGGGCCTTCTTTATCTTCATTTTCAACTTCTTTTATTTCTATATTGTTTTCTTCTCCATTCTCTTTCTTGTAAAGATATATTTTCGAATAATCTCAAACAATATTCCTGCAATGGAGAATGAAAGCACTATAGCGATGATCAAGTTGAGAATCAAGACCTCGTTCGCTTGGACCATTTTGATTGCACAAATTAAAAGATGGAAAGATAAATTAAAGTTTTTACTCAAAGCATTGAAGATATTTTATATTCTTGATCCAAAATTAGCACCACTACCATAACCAACAAATGGAGGTACCGATGCTATAAAAGCCGAAAGACAAAAAGTCAAGAGGATGAATTGATTTACCGCAGTCATTACTCAATGCATTATTCGATCGATTGTATGATCTTTGCACCGACACATCCTCGGCGAAAGAAATCTGAAACACTTTGAAAAGTAAGTACAAAGCTGGAAAAATAAGATACTAAGAAATTCTTAACTCTAAGTAAAAGACTTTTAGTTTCTTGAAAATATTTCCATTCTTCCCCAAATCCATGAATTGCAAGTCTTTGTGAACAAGTTGAAGGCGATAAAAATTGAGATTCCGAAAATTTTCCAAGTGGAGCAATTATTTCTAAACTCTTAAGGATTTGAAAAGGATATCGGAAGAAAATAATCATAGTTCCAAGGATTACTCTTTGGAACAATTGCCAAAACATCTTCACATCGAGGAAGAGTCTAGGGAATATATAAGAATGACAATTCTTATGAAGGCACTTCAAAGGCCAATGCTGTAGAGAAAATCGAACCTTCAAGCAAATATAATAATATAAAGCTTTCAAGAAACTTTAATAAATTCAAGAAGAACTCCAAAGGTGGTTGTTTCATATGTGGAAAATATGAACATTATGTAAAGGAATGTCGACACCGAAAAGAAACAACTCCGAAAGAAAGGTAAATTCCATCAAAAAAGATAATATTGTGGCCATCGTAAGCAAAATTAATGCCATAAAGGGAAAGGTTCCCGATTGGTGGTATGATACATGTGCAACCGTACATGTGCCATATGATAAATCATTGTTGAAAAATTATTATGAAATTGATGGAGATCAAGAGATTCAAATGGGTAACGAAGTTAAATCCAAGGTGGTTGGGAAAGAAAAAGTAGAAATCATCTTCACTTCCAACAAGATCATTACCTTGAAAAATATGCTATATGATCCCGATATGAATAGGAAATTG